CTTATGCGGGCAGCTGCAGCGCATGCAGCACAATCCGACGCAGTTCGAGAACTCTGCTGGAACTAAAATTTCCGGATCAGTACGAGGCCCAACGCCAAAGATACCTTGCTGACACTTTGTTAACGAATCTTCCGCGAGCACCTATGAATGCTGATCTTACCCAGTGAGTTCGCGAACCTACAAAAGCCATTGGGTTCGTTGATAAAACCACTAATAATTCTCTTTCATATTTTCACAAAGCAATCTGATACACAAATATTCGTGTTATCTGCCAATTTCACAAAGAAGATACAGAACTTCAAACAATCATAGGTCTGCGTAGTAGCTTTTTAGTAAATCTGGGCGTGCCTCAACAGTTTTAACGTCACACTTTGATAGCTGAGGGCAAAACAATCCTATTTAGCCAACACTGTGGGCAATTATACTCAGATTGTGTACGGTCTCATGATAGTTCAACTGGTGCATAATACCAATTTTAATTTTATTGCAATAGGTTTGCCCTTGACATACTTAAGTTTTTAACTTGAGAGACGACTTGGTGCGCCTAGTAACGTGCCCACGCAGGCACAGGGATGGCAAAAGTGTCCCCGTAAAAGCGGCTACTACTGAGGCATTGACTACTCAACGGTAAAATATGGAAAAAGTCCCCGAAGTCAAGCGGAGGCGGAATAATGAGAACTCGCCGATAGCAGAAACTTCGGCTGAATTTAAATCTCACTAAATCCAAGTCAAGGGGTTCATACAAACGCAAATCTGTCGGCATTAACTACTTCCGGTATCCAGACTCAGTCTTTGACACCTCTTTCTTGCTGTAACAGTTACTTATTGTTAGCAAGATCGTAATCTTGTGTGTACTACGCATCAAAATAGGGTAATTCAGCTAATATATAATGAGCAGATGAAAATGTTTGAAAATAAGCTCCACATTTGCTGCACTTTGAATGGCTGCTTTATATAAAATCGCTTTATTCATGATCTATACGGCATTACATATGTACTTCCACTAAAACAGCTGCAACGGCTTGCGTTCAAGACTTCGGGACTTTCTTGAGCTTTTATGGGTATGAGGTAATAATTCCTTACATAAAACGTGAAATTCAAGTTTGTGTAGCACGGCCTTCAACGAATATATTGAGTCAAGCTTCATGAGTTTGGTTGTTTTTAAACTCCAACGTTGCCTAACACCTGCAGGGATTGCTTTGAACGAATTCCAAATCATCAACCTCTTTTGGTTAAAGCGTCGGAGACTCTGAAACTGATAAAAATGTGGACGACCATAAGCCAAAGTTAACTATCGACTCATGTCCGAGCTTAGAAATGCAGAGGACCGTTCTTAAGAGAAAAGTAGCAATAATGGTAGACGCCGCTGAGGCTGGAAGAAGTATATGCAATGACTGCCGAAGCTTTTTCAACTTCAATACAAGGTGACCGCCCTTTGCCGTTCTGACTTTCCTTCGGGAACCATGACTGCTTTCCGAAGGTCAGTTGAGAATATCACCCAACTTCTACTCGAATCTCCTTGATAGCCACATCCATCTCTTTAAGTCGCCTAAGAGAGAACCATTATATCGCAGAGTCTGTTCTTCCTTTCCAACATTCATCATGCTTTTATGTCGAAGAAAAATCGCACAGCGTCCGGCCCCGAGAGGAACATCTGGAGAATCTTTTGCCAATCCTCATCAAGGACTTTGGCAAGGCTCTTCACGCCGTACCTGGCGGAAGTCAAGGTTCCAATTCAATGGAAACCACCAAAACTATGTTGCTATACAAGAATGGAACTATCGCTCTATCTGCCTGTTGTTTCTCAGTAGGATCGGAAAAGAACTAGACGAAGGACAGTCACGCAAGGAAGCTGTGTTTCGACAAGGATTCGGTACCGTAGACCATAAACGCACGATCTCAAGGCTAATCGAATTACCACGAGAGTACAGGATGCCGCCGTGTCTACCCTTCATCGACTTGCAAAAGGTCTTGACTCGGCTGAGAGTGAAGCCGTCATTGTTCCCTTGAGTAATGAAGGTTTTCCTACTCACTACGTCATGATAGTTCGTGAGCTATACAGCCACAGCCAGCATCACACATAGTACAAATACAACATCATTGACGGGAAGAGAGGTGTACGACAAAGCGATACTATGTCGCCGAGGCTATTAAGTGCAGAAGTCGAGAATGTCATGCGGACGTTGGAATGGAACGACATGGGAATAAAAGTTCAGGACCCGCAACGACGTCGCCTTCGCTTTGCAAATGACATTGTATTGATAGCACCAAGCATCACACGCGGAAGGAATGCTGGCCCATTTTGACGATGTATGTCTAAAGATAGATCTACGTCTGAATTCAACGAAGACGATGTTCGTTTGGAACGGAAGAGTGCCTGATACTCCCTTCAGGCTCAAAAGAACGAACTCATTCAACGCTAAAGCTACACTTACCTAGATCGGGGAGTCAATAAGATGAACGACATACCGTAACTGTGCAGGAGGAAATGTGCAGATAGGGAGTACAAAAGTTGCTGATTTTTTTTAGCGCTATTGCTGTTTGGGACAAAAATGCGGTTTATTCAGTTTAGCTGTCGCAGCCAAACTAATAGTACTCTGATTTGATTCCAGATACGCTTACTGCCATTCTAATTCAACATCAATAAGTAGTCAAAAGTAACTGCAGTTCGAAGTCAGCTCTTTCCGACCGAGTGGTCAGAGCAGACTATTTAGCGTATCCCGATCAGCATAGCAATGTCTCCATAGCTATGCATACGAAGTCATAGGGTCATGTCTTGCAAATAACGTACTAAGCACATCAAATGATGTTGCGAGACGCAACAGCCAAGTCTGAAATTTCGAAAGCGCTTAGGTTATGGTAAGCTCAAGACCAAGGTCTGGCGTGAGGTCAGGCAGACGTTGTCCTAACGGCCCCTTCCTTTACCCATCTATCTAACTACCTCTCCCCCACCCCTTCACAGAGCCTCATAATGTGATATCAGGATGGAAACAGTCTGTGTTAAGAAGTCTTTGATTTCTTCTTTCTTTAGGCACATTTCTCGGTTTGCACCCGACTAGACGGTACAAAAAGCATAGATGACCTGACTTGACCTGTTCTTCTAGGTTTGAGGTTCATCAAAAGGCGTAGCTTTCTCAGGGTTTGAGGATTTCGAAGGCAAGTTAACTGGGCAGGTAGGTCCTCCAGAAGCTCAGGCATCCTGACCCAGTTAACCTGCCCAGCACAAATTCTGTAGATCCTACTAGGTATTTGGAGGCACTTTTTCTAGTAACCGAAAAGCATTTGGTGAAAAATCTGATGGTCGGGCTTTTGGCAGTGCTTTCAAAACCACTATTGGCGTAAAGACAAATTCCTAGCATAGCTACCATTAATTACGACCCCATTTCCCATTTAACCCACTTTCAGTACGACTCCCAGGTCGTGCCTGACTCCAAGAGACTCATTTGTTAGTATCCGCGACTAAGCGGAGTTTGTCCAAGTATTGTCCAAGTTCGACTCTCGATTAATCTCGGCATGTTGCAGATGCTTGTTGTGGCTTGTTTAGCTGGACACCGGGATTGGTATATCCTTTATTCGACTAACGTTTCGGCGGAATCGCCTTCTTCAGAGTCTGGAATTGTCGAATGCATAAGTGAACTATCCTATCAAAACCGCCTCAAGACTTAGGAAGACGCCCAATGCGTCAGTGAGCCAAGACGAAAGTGAATGCAGGATTAAACTAATGCTTACCTAAACAGATGCCGACAAAGTGGTATTGCAGACCATTATACCAGTAACTGAGCTCATACTTTCTCATACCTCTTTGAGGCCAGGCGAATAGGTATATAAGAAAGTATGAACTCAGTTACTGGTATAGTGGTCTGCAAGACCACTTTGTCGGCATCTGTTTAGGTAAGCATTAGTTTAATCCATAGGTCATAGTTCACTTATGCATTCGACAATTTCAGACTCTGAAGAAGGCGATACGGCAAAACGTTAGTCGAATGAAGGATATACCAATCCCGGTGTCCAGCTAAACAAGCCACAACAAGTTTGTCCAAGTGTCTGTCTCCGTATCTATTGCGAGGGTTCAATCTCGCGACTTCCATTCAATGCTCGATAACTCAATGAACCATGGTTTTGTTGAAATTTGACTCTCGTGCGTTCGAGAGGAATTGCAGCAACTCTTTTCAGAGGCGACGGTTCCCTGATGTTGCGAACGTTATCTTTGAGATTATAGCTGTGCAGGATCCTGAGAATGAAAGGACGCAGCAGTAATCGCAAAGAGCAAGTGGATCCATAAATAGTGCCAGCCTTAGGTACTGTCTTTTCAATTCTTTTCTATTGGGGACTGATGGATTTCTCACAATTTTGATTTCACCTCTGACGAAGGCGAAAACGCCGAAATGTTAGTCAATCAAGGATGTAACAACCTTGAACTTTCGCGCAAATTTTCTGCAAAGCGATATGAACACTTAGCAGTAATCGCGATGTCTCCATTGATGAAAGGATATTCCGACATCGCGTTTGAAGGTGTCACTAGCTTCTTTAACTAAATAAAGGGGTGTGAAAAGTACTAATGGTGGACTTCTTTTGGCTATAGTAAGATGCTGCGTCTTTGACTTTTTCAATCCTCAAGTAATTCTCGCTGTGCACAAGGCGTGCCTCCCACTCAAAGAGCTAGGAAATCTTTATAATGGGAATGAAATTTTTGGTAACATTATTTCAATAAATGTTACTAGAAGCTTTCTATTTTGAGCTTTTATAAAGGAAGTATCTCCAACGATAGATTTACAATCTTTATTTTGTCATAATACAGTATGAACAAATATTTACAATAGCATCCGTATATTCGAATGGAGCGCTCATTAAAGTTTAGTCTGAGATGCTTTCGACAATGGTCGTTAGATCATGAAGATTAGTTTGTCTGGAATGTAGGAAAGGAACTGCAAACTGGCATAATTAGGATCTAGTTTAGCATTGGCTAAATGGTACAGATTTACATAATCGTAGCTAACAATCTACATTGGTTTGAAAGCATAGCATGTGACATCTTCGTTTGACGCTTGACAGAATGTTTCAGTGTAAGCAATGTAGCTGAAGTCGCCTTTGGCACAGATGACGTTAAATTTGCCAAATAGTTTCTCTTCAGCAGCTTTCTGGATTGCTCGCTTGGAGATGGTCGGGTCAGTGGTCATATTCTGAAAAGAAAGGGTTAAATTTGAGCCAGCCTCAAGTATCCTTGGCTAAATTTTTTTCCATCAAAATATTTAGAATTAGTTTTTTTTGCAAAATTGACATCTATCAATGAGTCCAATTTACTTCGTAACTACTCTTGCAGCGAAAAATTTTCTCCGCGAATGTGATCATCAATCTCTATGAATGATTGATAGGGTCAGATGTATTCACGTCGCAATTTGCCGCACGCCCTTTTCAAGCCTTGTCGTCGGGTTACATCATCTTATCGCGTCAGGGTCAGCACAAAATGAGCGACTGGTTTCAACCGAAGGCGAAGGTGATGTGTAATCTTGCGTAAAATCCCAAGCACAAGCACCACAATAGGTACGAAAAGCAAACGACCAGTTTTTTTGCTTTGAAAAAAAATCGAGCAAAGCAAAAAAAGCACAAAGCTAATCGGACTTACATCCTCGATAATCACTTTAAGCTTTTTGTTATTGCATGTGGCTTCCTCTTCTTCCTCCAGGGATTCAGCAGCGAATATCTGTAACTGGTTTTATCCGAGACTTTAGACATACTCGTAAATAATCCACCATACCTTTGATCCATGGGTTTTATGCCTGTAACGAGCACGAGCAAATCTGCAAGGCACTGCACAACGACAACAGCAATCCACAGCTGGTGGAGGAGCAACATACTGAAAATATATTTTGTTTATATTATTTTACCCTCCGATAAATCAGCTCATACCTGCTGGAAGACCGGCGCTGGAGCATAACTCTGGCACGGCTGATACATTGGTGGCGGAGGTGGCGGTGGAGGTGGGCACAATGGCGGAGGTGGTGGTGGCGGCGGTGGGGGACAAATTGGTGGAGGAGGGCAGAACTGTGGTGGACAGACTGGCGGTGGTGGACATGGTAATGGCGGAGGTGGTGGTGCACATACTGGCGGTGGAGGACATGGAGGAGGAAGTGCTTGACAGCAGCCACCTGAAATTACAAAAAGTTAAGAGGATGTTTTGAAGGACTAAAGTTGAACTGATTTTTCTTTTCTCACTGAAGAGGTTCAGAAAAAATCTGTAAACCATTTTACCCCATCTAAGGGCAAAAACAACGAAGTTTTTTTTGACTATCTATCATTAAAAAATTATTCATTGTTTCTTATTATTATTACCAGAAATGCTGTTGATTTTTAGAAGGATGTTTTTTCTCCGAGTTTCAACACTCACTGAGCTGTGCAGTTGTGGATTCAAGCGGTTGATATATCGAAATTTTACTTAGAGATTAATCGCAAGAGCTTGAATTCTAGTTCCTTAGATCAAAACTCACAGTGAAAGTTTCAAAAATACTTTGGCCACATATAACCAACCGTTTACTATTTTAAGTAAGTCAAGTTTCTCACTCTACCTCTTTTTCCATCATTCAGCTCGATATGTATGTTTGCTCTACGATTTCATAAAAATCCTGGCAAGACTCATTGTCAACAAGATTCAGATTATTCCGTAGGCAGTATAAAAACAAACCGTTTCTCGAAATGAAAATCTAGGAAACAGTGTTAGGGGCAAACTAGCTGAAAGGTTTACTATAGCCAAAAGACAAAAATCTTTATTAGTGAGAAGTTTGATAGTATATCAAATAAGTCTCCTAAGAGCATCTTTGGATACTGTCAGCCTGCGAAGAGTATACTTGTTTTTCACAAGGATAGTGGTTCTGTTCAATTAGCTTTTGTAATGGCAAACTGATAAAAAGTTGAAAATAAAGATCTCCAAGAAACCCGGAACAATATATTTATAGTGTCACAGAAGTTGTTTTCTACAAAAATTACAAGGGACCTACCAAAAGTAGCTTTTGCCGCCGGTATGATGGCAAATACTGCCAGTAGATAGAGCATGGCAAACTGTTCTGACTGACGTCGGCAACATCGCCCCGTGGCCTGCCTTATAAGGCGGGCATGGTACAGCCGAGACAGGTTCCGGTGTCACTGAGTCACTCTCCTTCTCGCGTGTGTCGCGACTCTACGGCACCACCTCCCACTGAGCGAGCAGTCACAGAAAAGGTCATCGGAGCGTTTGATCCTCAAGCGAAAAGCTGGCTGTGTGTGGGTGCGGTGAGGTGACAGCCGATTTGTTGGCGCTTGCGTGTGAAAACTGGAATTTCTTAGATGTGGTGAGGAGATCTCAAAAAGCGAAAGCTTGACTGGATTAGACGAAGAAGCTTCTTACTCTTGGCATTTGTTCAATCTCCGGTTGATCTGCGGGGATCTTCAATGGCAGAAATCCACCCAAGAATTTTCTGAAGACCGCAGACCGCCCACTTACAATCGTAATTGTTCTATTTAGAATATTCGGCCCTGTCTTTTTGTGGTCTGATTATATTTTGCCCATTACGACAAAAATGAGTGAAAATTAGAATCCTTGCATATATTTGGTTCATGCACAAATCTTGCACCAAAAAATGAGAAATTTGTTGTAAAAATGCCTAAACTATGACTACAGTTTACAGAATATGCTTATTGTTACGTATGTCGAAGTAGTATTTTATAGTGCATTTTAGAAAATCAGTATGGAACAAAATCAATAAGTCAATTTTGAAAAATCGAAATTCATAACTAATCGCAGAGGCATTCAATCACTATGGCTTCTCTTTATATTGAAAAGAGTATGTCATAAAACTAAGATCAAAATTAAATTCACTTTCTAGTAGGCGTTTTAGCAAAGTTAGTGGCAAAAAATCGAAATATCACTTTTTGGGTATTTCTCTTAATCACTTTATATCGTTACCATATGCCCTCAAAGAATTTTGATCCAAGCACTCTCAGAAAGCGCAAGATTTTCCCTCTCTACTATGTTTCAAAAAAATTTTTGGCGCAAGAATTATGCATCAACCCAGTAGCAAAATGCAGTAGCATTACATCATCAAACATAATAGTATGATTCTTACAAAAAATTGAGGACGAAAGCAGTAAACCAAACCAGAAATTGGTTTTTGCACGGATTAACCTCCACCCTGTGCCATAAATAGTTACTTGTACTTACTGCTTCATAGCCGCTTAGCTCATAATCGGTATGCACTTCAAGGAAAAAATTCAAGAAGTTACGGAAGGTTATAGAGTGACTCTATGTAGGCGACCAGGAAGGAAGTATTAACCTTGATTCAACTGGCTTGGCGGCTGGAAGGCGAGGCTTCGTGACCTGATTAAGACTAGACAGTGATCAGAGAGCACACGCGCGAGAGATACACAGAGTGCGTTGCGGGAGCGAGCGGCCTTAGTTAGATCACAAAGCCCTGCCTTCCAGCCGCCAAGCCAGTTGAATCAAAGGTTATGTTGCTGGTAATGACTTGTAGGATGAATCGTGCTAGAAAATTTATCCTCTGGACTTGAAACATTTTTGGAACAAACACTTTCGGTTCATTTTATGATTTTCTCTCATGGGACTTTCATTAAAGGAAAATGTAGAAACATGCGTGAGTGCAGTCAGGAATCAAATTTAATTTTTTCCCTATCCTTTTCTTGAGACGTCATTGCAAGGAGGTCCATTTCCAAAATTGATTTTGTTGATCTCTAACTTGAAATTATGTCCCCAGCAACCCAGACTTTCCTTGTTCTATTGTTACATCGAAATACACTGTAGCGGTTGTATTACAGCGCAATTATTCAAATAACTCCAGAAGCCCCCCCCCCCCCCCCTTCAAAATAGTCATGAATCATAAATATGAGTTAGTCTTATCAGTATCTAATAAAGCAATGAATAAAATGGAATGAAAACATTTTTGCAGTTTAAACCATAACTACAAGTAAAGATATTTAGGATATTTTTGTGGGAACACTAAATCATCAATCCGTTTCGTTCCTTCCCTTAAAATGAGTTCAAAATGAGTTCTAGGTCTTCCCCGGAACTCCTTAGTGAGGAAGGAAGACGCAGAATCATGTATACTTATTTGTTATTCTTGTACATTTATAAAGTTCATTAGTTAGGTTAGTGAACTTTTTATTATTATTGTAAAAATGTAGAGATTAATAAGATAAGATAAAAACTCTTCGAATTCAGCTCTCTAAGGCGCAGCTCAAAAAAAAAAGACGAGATTCGTTTCTTCGACAACATCATTTTTTATAAAGACTTTTTTGACTACTAATGAAACAAAAGCTTTTGTCGCATTTTTTGCATATCCAGGAAAAAAAAACAGCAGGAACTTGTTGGACTTCATAGTTGTCCAGGAAAATTCTGCTGATGACACTTTCAACTTGTTTTTTGTAATATGCCAAAGAAATGCTGTCTTAGCGCAAAGCTGCTTGGCTTCATTGCTAGGTCATTGCCACGAAAAGTGCCATAAGCCACTTGGATGAGTCATTGTCACACTCAAAGTTACATTAACTGAAGCTGGCTGCTGACGTCATCACGGACAAAACGTACCACTTGTGTCGAGAACGGCGAATACAAGCTGCACCAAGGTCAAACAAACACCCGATTTAGTATGAGAAACAGGAGTGCGTGTGATTGTTTAAACATCAAAACAGCTTCACACGATCTCCTCTAGTTTATCGTTGAAGTCGACAGAAGTGAAAGGGATTGGGTAAATAGATCAAAAATTAGGCAGCTACACACAATATTTAGGAACGATTATTTGAAGCGCTAATGCATGAAGAGGAGGTAATCAGCGTTCGAAGAAAAAATCAACTCAATACTGCGATAGAGGAAGCCCGATTACACAAAAAGTATGGTGCCCTTCTCCGTCTGTTTTATGAGCACTCTTTTGAATTCCTGGAGATCAATGGGAATTTCGCTAGAGTTCCTTTGGCAGAGAGTTTAGAGACTCCTTGTAAAACCGCATGACCCCACGATTCGCCAAGGGCTGGGCTATGGCTAGGATACAAATCTAGAGATGATATTGTGAAAAAAAAAACACACACACAAAAGGAATGGAGTTCCGTAAAAGTATGTGTGTCTGTTTATACAAGAGAGGTCAAGCGTTCTGAAGTTTTCAGAAAATACTGCGGTTGGTTTGAAGAAAGATGATATGTCGTTTTCATCTGATGCGGTATTACAGCAAACTTGTCTGATAAAATGAAAGAAAGAATCTTTCTTATGAAAGCATGAAGACATAAATTTGTTGTCCATCATGATATTAGCCATGTATCTCTACCTTCCTTCAGCATTCATGCCCTTTGGTAAAAATCGAGTACAACCATACAATCACGCAATGGTCAGCTGCTTTCTCTTAACTGGCAGTTTTTTCATTGGTGTGTATATCTCGAAAATTATCCATAGGCATCTCAAAATAATAAAAAAAAATGCTAGAAACATAGGTTTGCCCGGAGGTTTTCTTCGAAGTTATCCAACTTTAAAAGCATCTCAAACCACATTTACCATATAAGCTGTAATATGCATTGAAAATCTGATAATATATTTATTTATTTATTCATGCGCACATCGGCGTGCTATCAATTTGAATACAGTCAGGCCTCGGCACGAGGTTCTTCCCTAAAATGCAAAAAACGAAGTTCCCCTTGACTTTCGGCAAATTTTACGAAGTGCTCTTTGACCCTAAACCCTCCCTCAAAAACGAAACGTCGACTAAAAAAACTTGAGTTTTTTTTTCGGCAACAAAAACGAGATCCCCTTTGCTTTTTGTCTCAATACGATATCCAACCTGCTTACAAGCACCTGTGCCGCAACAATACAATAACGAAGATTATTCAGGTTCATGAGGCATTCCAAAGCCAGTTACTGTTCAACATTTTCTTCATACCACTTTCCACTGCGGGAATGTCCTCTGTCTCACGTAGTCATGAAACGTAGGCAATTTATGTTGACGTAACCTAATACTGCCTCAAAGATGCCGTAAACTTGCCGCGAATGCACTTGATCTGTTCGGCTGACTCACCAATAATGTAAGAAGCAACTTGAGCGCAAGCTTCAGGCAAGCTTATAGAACGACATGTCGTGAAAACGTCTGCGAGCGAAACTCATTTGAAGCGATCTCATTGTCCTGAGATTACATGAGGCTAGCATGGAAGTGCTATGGCAATGGAACATCCGATGGAACGAGAAATCGAGTAGAAGACCGCCTCAGGACGGATCGCTGGAGCGTTAGTTCACATCAACGAAAGGTGAATGGCTCTTGAGATCTCGTGTTCGAGGGTTCTCATACTTGTGCCATTGGTTGAACGTCTGAGGTTACGCTTCGTATGTCTTATGATAATAGGACGCTGCTTAACACGTTTCGGACCGCGAAATTGCGAGCGGCAACATGGTGTGCTACACCGTGTGTAGCACGAGGGACGCTAGGCACCGAATTTTCTTCGTTGCATAACTTCCGGCTAAACTCAGGGAAAACTTGGGCTAAGTGTTGTGTATCGCACTTCTCTTACTCGTACTTCTTCCCGTTGTTCATCAACTGACGTCAAGGTCCTACATTTTGTAATTGTGATTAACTCCCTTTTTAAAATGCTTTGGGCGCGAGCTCAAACAATGAGTTAACCGACAGAGGAATCTTTACATGATTGACTAGATTACACAAAGTTTATTATTATAAAAAGAGGAATTTACAAAAAAGAAATGAAAAGGGTCTTACGTTAAGGACTTACGACAACAAAGAAATACAAAGATAGGAGAGACAGAACATAGAGCCATACCGTCCAAATACGATCCGATCCGACAAAAATGGCCGGCATATTTATGCGAGCAAAGAAACTCATTAAGCCCCACGCCAACATTACAAAAACAATGCAGCATTATAATGGAAGCACATCGGATCCATTCTTACTTGCTTGGATACTTATTATTAGGTGGTCCGTTCTCTTGACGTGCGGGCCCCAGTACAGAAGTTTCCATCGATTCCTGTCCCTCGCTTCGGACATTCACGATCTTCTTGGTTGTCGTCGGTGGCTGC